GAGCACACACTCATCACCTCGCATGCATGGACTACAATTAGCATATAAGACTCAATTCCTAAGGGGAAGTCCCCCACACGAGGTTAGGCAAGATACTTACCTCAAAGACGACAAACCGATACTCTAAAATGCACTTCTCAGGTGAAAAGACCTCCGGACGACTCAAATCTAACCAAATTAACTTCAAAGCACAAATAAAACACATAAGAAACTATTCTGGATCATAAAGTCTCAATCTTTAACAAAATCCAAAAATCGATCCAAAAGTCAACCCCGGGCCCGCACCTCGGAACCTGACAAATTTTACAAAAACCGAATACCCATTCCTATACAAGTTCAACCATATAAAATTTATCAAATTCCGATACTATTTGGTCATTCAAATTATGATTTTCATTTAGAATTTTTCTTCAAAAATCAAAATCATGGAATATAATCAATTTTAGGTGAAGAACACTTACCCAATCGATTTGTGTGAAAAGCCCTCAAAGGGTTGCTCAAAATCGAGCTCCACAAGTCAAGATATGATAAAAATGGTGTAACCCTCGATTTTGGAATATATTCTATCTGCGAGGTATTTGTACATCGCGATCGCGGAAGAAATGATGCGATCGCGTAGAAGGAAAATAGCCACTATCTAAAAATGTGCTACGCGATTGCAGAAGGGCTTATGCAATCGCATAGTGAAGAATTTTCTGTTGTCCAAAGCTACTCTTCATGATCGCAAAGAGAAAGATACGATCGCATTAAAGGAATAATTTGTTGCCCAAAAGAAAGAACTATGCGAACGCAGACATAGAAGATGCGAACGCGAAGAAGGAACTCACAGACTTCCGCGATCGCGAACGTGGTCATTCGAACGCGATCAACAATTAATACCTCCTCCAAAATTACTCTTTGCGGTCGCAGAGGAGCAGATGCGAACACGAAGAAGAAAACCAGTTGACAGATAACAACAGATCAAAATAGGAGAAAAATGGCCCGTAGCCCATCAGGAACACACTCGAGGCCCCCGGGACCCCGTCTAAGCACATAAACAAGTCATATAACCTAACACGGACTCGCTCGAGATCACAAATCACATCAAATAACGCCGAAATGACAGATCACACCATGAATCGAACTTAGGAACTTTCAAACCTTTCAACTTCCAAAACTCGTGCCGAAACCTATCAAATCAACCTGGAATGATGCCAAAGTTTGCAGACAAGTCCAAAATAACAATAAAGGAGTTGTTCTAACTCTCGGAATTACATTCCGACCTCGATATCACAAAAGTCAACTCTGGGTCAAACTTCTCCATTTTCCAAACTTCAACTTTTCCAACTTTCGCCGAAACACTTCAAACTACCCTACGGACCTCCAAATCCGAATCCGGACGCGCGCCTAAGTCCAAAATCATCATACGAAACTGTTGAGATCACCCATGACCCATTCCGAGGCCGTTTACTTAAAACTCCAATTCCGGTCAAATTTTCACCGTTTAAGCTTCCAAAACTAGTTTCCTTCTTCCAATTTGACTCTAAAACATTCGAAAACATGATCCAACTGTGGACGCAAGTCGATACACATAATATGAAACTGCTCGAGACTTCAAACTGCCGAACCAGGCGCAATTGTTTAAAACTAACAGTCAGGTCCTTACAATCTAATTTATATCCAAAGAAGAACAACTGAAAATGTAAATTCAATTCTTTATTTAATAAGATCTAATAACAATGATGATCATTGAATATGGACGAACTAAGTTGCACCCATTTTAATATATTTTTTTGAATTGAAAAATAAGACATCAAGATACATTGTCTCCTGCTTCGAATAACAAAATTAATGAAAATTACTATATCTTCATTTCAAATGAGAAAAATGAATTTGATATAATGATAAACACGAAAATCAAAAACTGCAAAGTCCATAAAGAATAAGTAAGAACTAATTGATACTAAAATTGATAATATCAATCAACAGTTCGTCTATATTTACAAATATTTTAGGTTCTTAAACTTTATTTTGCTTTCTAAATATATACTGATGTTTAAATCTTATTTTATATGTTACTATCCGTAGCCTAGCATTTTTGTAATATTAATTAAGAACCAAAACACAGAAGAGAGTTTGTTTTTTGAAAGAAAAAGAAGAACACTTTTTCTGAAAATTTTATATGAAGGGATACTTGAGGGAAAATTTAATAGTTTCAGAAAAGTGCTATATAGAAAGATAAGTTCGGTCTAAGGCTAGAGATTTGAATATGGAGATATCACTAGTTCTTAAAGCATGGTTTATGTAACAAACTAAAAAATAAATCAAAGTTAGAGCCCTGTGTGAATGACGAAAATAGTTTATTAATTATAATTAATAAAACGGTATATTTAAAAAGCTCTATATAATTATTAAGCAAGGAAAATAATTAAGAGTATCTTATTTTTATTGTTCTATAATTTTTTGAAGGAGAAGCTTGGAGTAATGACAAACTTGTAGGTCAGTGGTTCAAGTAGTGAAAGTAGCCACTAATGAATTTTTTGTGCGGCCCCTTGGAGGTATGACCCTTCCCAGACCCAACGTGAATGCGGAATTTTTCGTGCATCAGGCTATTCTTTTTAAATATTTAGGTTTTAGCTTATAGTGATCTTTGAATTTAACTAAAGTTGTTATCAAAATCTGGGCTAAATGTATGTGTTGTTTGGATTTATATTTACATCAATATTTTATTTTAGAATTTTCTCCTATCAGTATTTGCATATTTCTAGCAAGATTCTTCCTTATTGATCTATCTAAATACAATTGATATTACTCATTTTCAAGAACTTACACTTTTTTAGCTTTATTTTGTAACTCAAATATATTATTTAATATAGGCACATGGATAAAGCGCATTGCAAAATATTATTCACCCTTTTAAATCCAAATATAAATTTTATAAGATAAAATTATAGTTACGTAAATAGAGTAAACAGACAACGCCTATCCTAAGATTTAATTTGAGGAAAAAGCAGATCTAGTGGGCATTTGGACATAAGAATTGTAAAATTTCAAAAAATGATGAAATTTTTTTTAAGTGAAAATAGTATTTGAAATTTAGAGTTGTATTTGGACATGAATATAATTTTAGGTCGTTTTTGAAATTTTGTGAATGATCTGAGTGAAAATTTAGAAAATAGTTTTTTGGAGTTTTTTAAATTTTTAAAAAATTTCAAAATGCATTTTCAAGTGAAAATATAAATTTTTATGAACAAAAGATTATTATGGAAAAAAGTGAAAATTTTTGAAAAAAAGGGAAAAATTTCTTATGTCCAAACGCCTCCTAGTTTCCAAAATCGGAATCCCAATAGACATATAATTCCCAATCCGAATCACAGTCGGATTTTCCTTTTTTCAGATCATATATGTATGTGTTCATATATATGTGTGCCTGTGTAAATCGCCTTCCGCCGTTCTATTCACTCTCCAACTCCTCAAGCATTCATCAAACCGTTTGTAGTTCATTCCGTTGGTTATTTTCCCTTATGCTTAATGCTTTTTGGCTTAGTGCTTTTCGCCGACCTCAACTTGTTTGGGACCGAGGTGTAGTAGTAATAGTTGTTGTTATGCTTTTTGCATGTCTAGGTATGTGATTGTGTTCTACTATTAACATTTAACGCAACTTTTAATATACATGTGTGCCATTACAATAATGAGATGCTCACTGAATGCTTGTCGTTTATTTATTCATCAAGTAAAGCCAACCTCAAGTTTTCTTGTGCTGGAGCTTTTTATGATTAATTTTCACAGTTATTGTTTAAAGTTTCATTAGTATGTATATCCATTCAATGCTTTAGCTTTTACTTCCTTTCAGGTTACATAAGATGTTGACATTAACTACTTGAGTTTCCTCACTTTTCCTGAAAGCGACATTACCTTACCTGATTCACAAGATTCCCAGGCCTAAAGACGGTAGCTTTTGGCTTGTGGCAATTCAAGTTTTTGTGAAGCTTCAAATTTTTATTGTCCATTGTGGTAGCTACTATTTCCTTTCCCTTATAGGTGTTATACTTCAGACTCCAGTTTAATATCCCAAAGCATTAAGAAGTTGTTTGGTTTGATGTATTAGCTCAAATAGTCATGGTATAAAAACTTGTATTGTTATCTATGGGCAGGTTATTTACTCTTCAATCCATAAACCGAATATGAATTGGTCTTCAAACTTCTTGCTTTTGCCTTTATCTGGTGTTTACTTGATTGTTTATTCTACAATATATACAGTCTTCCTCGCTTCCAGAATGGAGTGAAGGTCCATTTTATTTTGTTTGCTATTGAGCTGCCATATTACACAAGTGTTCCAACTCTATTATATATTTGTGAAGTAAGTTTAATCTCTTTAAGAAATCATCAGAAATTTTTGTTCTTTCTGATTGATGAGATGATTAAGTAACAATTAGCCTGATCAATATTTAATTGAGAAGCTGTAGAATTATGCAGCCTCCTCACTCCATCACCCGTTTCCTGGAAGAAAGTAATGGAATAGAAAACACCTGCAGATCTCCAGAGGAAAATAAAATATTGGACTATCTTTGAATAGTACACCGACCTTGAGATAAGGTATAACTAAAACTGCCTGGTCGCTTGACCCTCCTAATGATGTGTGGCAGCTGAAATAAAAAGAAAAAACTCATCTACTGTGTCTTTTCTGTACTTCTCTCTCTCTCTCCTTTCTACTTTTTTATCTTAGGAGATATTGAAAAACTAGCATTCAGAGGGTCTTTTTCTTTGTGCTATTATTGATGCAGGTCACATTGAAAACCTTATTTTCTTGTTTTGCATGATGTTTCTGGAGATGTCTGCCAACAATTAAATCCTATATTTTTCTTCCACTGATTCTCTTGGCCTGGATAGCTGGTGTTGCCTGTAAGAATCTTCAACTTGAGTTTTATAAACAAGTATCCTTTTGAGTTTCTTCTTGAAATATTAATATTTTGTTTAAAGATAATGAAAAATGAAAACATATGGGAAGTATGCCTTGTAAACCTACACTTTTTCAGTTGTAATACTTTAAGTATTTTAATTTTGTGTTTTACTATTTGGTTTGTCTATCTTTCAGTTGAGTCATGGCCAAACTTTGTGCAAGTGTGTGAACAAATTATTTGACTTTCATTACCAAGTGAGAACTTACTGATTTTAACTCAATCTACAATAACAACAAACCCAGTAAGTGGGTGTGGGAGGATAGTGTCAACGCAAACTTTAGAGAGGTTGTTTCCTGTAGACCCTTGGCTCAATGATGTTAACTCAATCTAAATTTGGATAATTGGCTTTTATAATTGTTAGAAAATTGCAGAACGATTTTGATTTTCAATTGTTGATTGTTTTTCTTCTTCTCTTTTCAAAATGTCTCCTTGGCATGTGAATTATCTATGTTACTTTCATTTGCAGTAATCCCCACTATTGATATTATAAGCTTTGCTACACTTATTTATGTAAGAAAGCCTTTGTGAGATTAATACAGGGTTTGTTTGATGTAGTTATTTATATAATAAAGCCTCTAAATTACCTATGCCACATGGGGACTGCGTGGATCATCTCTGTTATGGTCTTCATGCATTATATGTTTTAGCTTTGATTGCTTTTACTGGGGCATTGCATCGTGTGGAATTCAGATTTCATGAACTCAAAGAGCTTTGGAGATGAATTCTTGTCTCTGCAGCTTCCATTATTTTGTCCATTTTCTTTGTTTTGCCTCTTTTGTGGCATGTTTCCATTATGTTACTTCATCTGTGTGCTCAGCTAGGTGGAACAACTGATTAAGGTATAAAAGTTAAAAAGAATAAAGTAGTCTCGAATACCCATTTTTTCCCTCTATGGTCCAAGCATCTAAACATAGTTCTCACATACCGGAAGCACAGGCTGTCCGTCATAATGCTGTGTGAAATATTTGTAATTTCTGTCAAGGAAAAATAACTGGAGAAAAGTTTTAGGTAAAGTGACTAACGTGAATGGGCTTGACTGTCATGACTGAGACACCAATCTAAAGTACTTTTTCAAGTGCTCCTCTCTATTTGGATAATAGAAAACGTACATATCCAATTTGTTACAAATAAAATCCTGTTTGTTATGGGTTGCTTATGTTATGAATGAGGTTCATGAGGATATATCATGGCTCGAAATTGCCTCTAGATTTTTGTTATTGGTTATGGTACAAATTTCCTGATCTTGTGCTATTTTGGTAATATGTGGGCGTCAGAATCTTTTTGTTGATTGCCTACAGAATTTCTCTCGTTATTTCAACAGACAAGTTTCCTTGTGCTGGCATTCTTCTCTTTCTCGATTTCTCAACCTCTCGTATCACTTATGAGCTTGAGGAAGAAGGATCATAAGGAGTACACAGCAATGAGTTAGGCATCAGGCATACATGATAGCGGGAGAGGGAACTGGCGAGCATTTTAGATCCCAACCAACCTTTTGATAAGCTCCTGCTGAACTGAAGGTTCCGGCAGTCCTTCATGACATCTGAGGACAGGTTTTATTCTTTCTCCTTTTCTAAAAAAATACCATATGATTTAGAACTGCGATGACAAAACATGGGGGCTCATATCTTTCCAACGTGATGGAATTGCATATGTTAAGCAGTGAACAGGAAGAGTAGGGAGCCTAAAATCCATATACCAATAGATTGAACAGAAGAGACATGTAGGAAGGTTACGGGTTCGAGCTGTGGAAACAACCTCTTGCAGATAAGGCTGTGTAATATTAGACCCTTGTGGTCGGGCCCCCTCTGGACTTCGCGCATAGTAGGAGCTTAATGCACCGGGCTGCCCTTTTATGCTCTAGCGGCCAGATTCTCCCGTTCCTAATGATACGAGCTAGCGTTCCGGACAAAATTTTGCTGTGCAGATTATAACATCCAAGGTGTATTTTACCATACTTTATATAAATCAATATGAAATACCTTTGATATCCATCACTGCTTTGTGAAAAATCGAAAATTATGATGGCGTTTATGCTGACAGCCGTAACCAGGAAAATTTAACTTACGGAAATGAATTAAGTATATTGCAGATCAATCATGCACCCAAGCGTGTGGCCTAGTGATCATGAAGTTGGTGAAAACCATGAGAGACCAGCGTCCAGCAGAGATAATGCTCGGAGGTTTCTGACAAATTGCCTTATAGAGATGTTGCATGTTGGAATAGTGATTCAAGCTGTTATCAATGTGGGAGCTTGCCTAAAGTACTTGTGCTGATGGGAGATTAGGAAGTAGCAAGTACCTGTGGAATTAGTCGAGACACGCACAAGCTGGCCCGGACATTACAGTTACAGTTATATTATATAATAAAATAACTGTAGTAAAATATATTAAATTATTGGGTTGAAAGAATGATCTTTGTTCTTAACCTTGATTTCCACCTTTCTTCTGATTCCGTGATTTTATGTTCACTGTTCCTGGAGTTCTCTTGTCGAATAAATTCTGATGCTTTCTTTGGGAAGTCCATATAAATTTTGCTTGCCGCCTCTAGTACATGTTACAATCCTATTTTCTCTTTTGATAGGAGGTGACAAATACGACGAATACAGTACAATTTTAGAACTTAGAACTATATTTGTGATATTCGGCTGCTTTTGTTCTCTGTAATTAATTATTAAATTTTATATGAATATTGATTATTTTGTATGTTTTGGGTGTGTATTTGTATATATAGATATAGTGAGTTTTATATCTTTCCAATAATAACATACAATGATCAAGTTTTTTGGTTGTTTAAAGTAACAAACAATTAGTTTGTAACAATCTAACAATCTAAAGTTTGTAACGACCGAAAGCACTTCTAACAATCTAAGTTTGTAACGACCGGAATGACATTTAGTAACTAAAAGTATTTTAACGATTGGATTGGAATCTGGTCATACGGCTAGGCTACTAGTGATCCCTGATGACTTCAATTTTTTCGGCTGTTATTGGCTAATTTTCCTTGGTGTAAGTCTTTTCTTGTAATGATGCCTATGATGTTCATTAATTATGGAAGAATTTGTGTGCGGGCAAAATGGAGGATAATATTACCCCCGATTCCCAATAAAAAAACGAGAGGGAAGCATGATCTAACGCAATCTCGAGCGAAGCCGAAGGGTCTCTCTTTTCAGAGCCTGGGGGGATGAACGGTGCATCTGGGATTGGGCACGGCTAAACAATGGATCCGGACCAAGTAAGTTTTGAGACCAAGGAAAAAGAGAAATGATTGAGCATGACGAGCAGGGAGCCGTAATACTCGTCCTCAACCGGATATTACCGTACAAATCCCGTCCGATATCAACTGCGGATCGACATTTACCGAAAAAGAAGGTTTTTACCTTATTTAGACTTGTACTAGGATTGAAATTTCCCTACTATATAAAGGGGAGAACTTTTCCATTTTAAACCACTATTGACACGCACATCAAAGCAATACAAGTTCAATTGTGTCTTCTAGCTATTACTCAAAGTGTTCTTCAGTTACTCTCTTCTTTAATTGCAACCGAGCTCATATCACGGGCTCGATCAAAGCCAGTTTTCAATGTTCAACTTAAAACTAGGTTTGATTGTTCCATCGCAATTGGTTTGATCGTTCATTCTCTCTTTAATTTAAGAGGCCAACGACAAGAATGTGGAAGCTTATAATTCCAAGGTCGATCAGATCCCAGAGCGCCTCTAATACTGAAGGGGCCGTATTCTAAAAAAAAATTATTCAAAAGCATTTCCCCCGAGTGCAGCGCCGAAGCCAATCTTGAAGAGATTCCGAATGCCCGACATTCCCAAAATGGTGTAACGACCCGACCGGTCATTTTGAGCATTTGCACTTCGCTTGCTAGTTCTCGGACATGAGTATCTCCGTATGATGCATTATGACTTATGTGAATCGTCGATTTTAGTTTTCATGTTATTCGGAATTGATTTGGAAGAATGATTCTAAGCTAGAAGTTTTAAAAATTTGGAAGGTTTGACCAAGTTTGACTTTTAGTATGTGACCTCGGATTGGATTTATGATGGTTCCATTAGCTTTGTTGGGTGATTTTGGACTTAGGAGCGCGTTCGGATTGAGATTTGGAGGTCCGTAGTAGAATTTGGCTTGAAATGACGAAAGTTGAAATTTTGGAATGGTTGACCAGGAGTGGACTTGTTGATATCAGGGTTAAATTCCAATTTCGGAAGTTGGAACAGGTCCGTAATGTCAAATGTAACTTATGTGCAAAATTTGAGGTCAATCGGATGTGATTTGACAGCTTTCGGCATCGGCTGTGGAAGTTTGAAGTTTCAAGTTCATTGATTTTGAATTAAGGTGTAATTCGTGTTTTTAGCGTTGTTTGATGTAATTTGAGGCCTCGATTAAGTCCGTGTTATGTTATAAAACTTGTTGGCATATTTGGACGGGGTCCCGAGGGGCTCGGGCGTGTTCAGATTAATTTTGGGCTACATTTCTTCATGTTTTCACTGCTCGTGTATTCTGATGTCTGGTGGCTCAGTCCTTCATCGCGTTCACGAGGCAAGTGTCGCGAATGCGTAGTGTATTTCGATGGAAGTGGCATTTTCTTCATCGCATTCGCGAATGTTGGTCCACGTTTGCGAAGAGTTGGGGCTAGTTTTCTTCGCGTTCGCGTAGAGTTGAGCTGGGGGCTGGAGTGGAGGATCTTTCTTCGTCGAGTTCGCGAGGTTTGTGTCGTGTTCGCGTAGTTCCGTCTCTAGTGTGTATCGTGTTCGCGAGGCTTGTGCCGCGAACACATAGAGCATTTTGGTGGCTGGTGTTTTTGTTCATCGCGAACGCGATGGTTATCCCGCATTCGCGAAAGAGGAGGCCTGGGCAGAATATAAAATACTCTATTTCGAGGGTTTCAGTTATTTTTGCATTTTTGGAGCTATGAAGCTCAGATTGAGGCGATTCTTGAAGCAATTTTCACCATATGAATTGGGGTAAGTGTTCTCTACTCATTTTTTGTTATATTTCATGAATCTATCTTTGATTTAGCTTTTGGTTGAGGAGTTTTAAAGAGGAAATTGGGGGTTTTGGCCTAAAGTTTCATAATATGAATTTTATAGTTTTGAACATCGATTTGGAGTCGGAATTGAGTGAAATTAGTATGGTTGGACTCGTAATTGAATGACTTATCGGATTTTGTGAGTTTTATTGGGTTCTGAGGTGCGGTCCCGGGATGGACTTTTGACCAATTTCGGGTTTTTGACTCAAGACTAATCCTTTCTGATTAGGATTGGTTCCCTTAGCCTTGTTTGATGTATTTGAGTTACATTTGGTTAGTTTCGAGCCGTTCGGAGGTCGAAATGCGCGTGATGGCATCTTTGGAGCATCGCTTGAATTGCTCGACATTGGTAATGCCTCGTTCGAGGTAAGTAACTCTTCTAAACTTAGTGTTGAGGGTATGAAACCCCCGCAATACGCGTTATGTGATTGATATTGAGGTGAAACACATGCTAGGTGACGGGCGTGCACCCTGTGAATTGGGACTCTAATGTTCCTATGGCACTGCATAGTGGCCCTATTTTTGTTGATATCTGTGTTTTCACCATATGATAAAGTAACTGAGTTGTCAATCATGCTAGATATCATGTTTAGGCTTTATGCTGATATTTTTAGGACCCATAGTGGTCATTTCTTACTGTCATCTCACTGATTTTTTTGATACTTCATACTCAGTCATATTCATGCATCCATATCATATCTCAGTCTTAGTTGTTATTTGTTGATACATCATATCATTGTTGTCGGGCTAGTTTCATGACATTGAGAGCCCGAGAAACTGGAGAGATTGATGACTCAGTGAGGCCGAGGGTCTGATTGTGAGGATATTTATTGGATCGGGCTGCACGCCGCAGCATGTTTCATTGATTTATGCCATGATTGGCTTGATATATAGCGTTTGGGCTGTAGGAGCCCATCCGAAGTCTATACACACACCCAGTGAGCGCAAGTACCTATTGAGTGCGATTGCCGATTGCCGATTGCCGAGTGATCTGGGAGGATTGGGTGACTGTGAGGACTGAGTGACTGTGAGGAGTGAGTGACTGGGTAGACTGAGTGACTGGGAGGACTGAGTGAATTGATACTCTGAGAGTATACATATGGTTTTATTACTAAGTCCCATCGCATTTGACATGCACATGACAAACAGGCATAGAGATGCATTTTTCTCATGTCGTACGGTATCACGTCATTCATGACTTCTCACCTATATTGACATATGAGCATAGAGAGGTATCTTTGCACTTGCTACCTGGAGATAAAATGAAACATCATATTTACTGTTGAAAGGATTTTTGGGGAAAAAACTCCCAGTTTTCAAACTTACTTGCATTTTCGATGTTTTCGGTGAAAGAGTGGATTTTCACTGATATACTTGAAAAACGGAACTATTTTTGGAAAACTATGAAAAAACTAAGCATTTTATCTCTGAGTTACTTCTTTATTTAAATGCTTTATGTCGTTATGAACTGTTGTTGGCTATTGGTGTTGGACCCGACCTTTGTTCAAGCTCATCACTACTTTCAACCTAAAGTTAGGTTTGTTACTTACTCAATACATGGGGTCGAATGTAATGATACTACACTTCGCACGTTGCGTGGATATTAGCTGTTGTTGTTGCTGTGCTCGATGGTTGCCGGATTGAAGACATACCTGCGTTCCGGTTGTTGCTGCCTCTTGTTCATAGTAGTCTTACATTTATCAAACTCTGTTTATGTACTTTTCACACAAAAGATGTATTTACTTCATATCGGCTTTGTAAATTCTATTCTTAGAAGCTCATGATTTGTATTACCGATCCTTGGGAATGTATAAGATTCAGATAATTCCTTTGTTTAATTGTCTTATTAATATTTCGAAAATTGGATAGTTATTAGTTGGCTTACCTAGCGGGTTGGGTTAGGTGCCATCAAGACTAGTGGATTTCGGATCGTGACAAATGGGACCACAGATCCAAAAGAGCATTTAACCTCTTATACATGCGCAATCAAGGGAAATGACTTGGAAGAAAACGAGATCGAATCAATGTTGTTGAAGAAATTTGGGGAAACCTTGTCTAAAAGAGCGATGACATGGTATCACAACTTGCCTCTGAATTTTATTGATTCTTTTGCTTTGCTCGCAGATGCGTAAAGGCCCATGCTGGTGCCATCAAAGTCGAGACGAGGAAGTCGGACCTTTTCAAAGTCAAGCAAAAAGATAACTAGATGCTTAGGGAGTTCATGTCGAGGTTCCAGATGGAACACATGGACATACCCATGGTCGTGGATGATTAGGGTGTTCAGGCGTTTACTCAAAGGCTCAACCCACAAAGTTCCGTGGCTTCTCAACAGTTGAAGCAAAACTTGGTGGAGTACCCGACGGTCACTGGGGGACCCCCTCGGGGTCTATTTACCCCAACAGGGCAAACGATATATCTAAGAGAATCATTGACCAGGAGCCAAGGCCAGAGTACAATTTCAACGTGGATGCTGCAAGTATAGTGTCGGCTATAGGGCGTATCAAAGTGGCCTAGGCCATTGCAGTCCGATCCCGCCCAGAGGTACCATAACTTGGTGTGTAAGT